TTAAAATCCATTTTTGAAAAGCAGTATTTTAAAGGAAATTGTTCAATTTCAGTTTTCACATTTTTTAGCATAAATTCATCAGAGCATTGTCTCTCTTAATTTTTTTTTTCTGAAGTTATGTCCTCTTCTTATTTCTAATACTCTTCTTTCTTTCTTTCTTTCCTTCTTTCCTTTGCCAGGATTTTGTCCATCTTATCTTTAAAGAACAAACTTTTGGCTTCATTGATTCATTTTTAATTGTTTCTATGTCAAGTTCTGTTCTAATACTATATTCTTCATTCTTCTTTCTTTTTCTTTTTTCTTCCTGATCTTTCTAGATCACCTTTTTCACTGGTGGTTCCAGCTTTAAGGAGGGGAAATTCAATTCACTCAATTTTGATCTAAGATCTTGTTTCCTTTCCCCTTTCAGCCTTTAAAACCCAAAGCTGTAGATCTCAGAAATCGGCAAATTGCTTGAGGGCATTGACTTACCAGCTTAGTTTTCAACTTCTTCACTCTTGAGTGTTTTTCTTTCTTTCTTCAGATCTTGGTTCTGTATTGGAAAACACTTATTATAACTTACCTGGTATTGGCAGGTTTTATAGTTAAAGGGGCTTATCTCTTCTGCCATATTGCTCAAATGAAGCTATACCACTTTTGTAAACAAACAAAAATCTTTACTTAAAAAAAAGTGGACTGTGCTATCATGAAACTAGCTGCCAATATTGATTTTAGCAGAAGTGATTCAGGCTCTGAAAAGACATTAATTACCAACAACCTACAAGTTTGGAAAGTTTGGCACATAAATAGCTTCTGTCTGTTTGCTCAAAGCCTGATGATAGACAAATGCTCTTAATTATATTCTCAGGGAAATGAAATAAAGTTAACGGTAATCGAGTAGAGAATGTTTTTAAATTTAATCCTTGTTTGGAGAAACCAAGTTTTGCAATTTTATTAAGGAGAGAGCAGGCATAGAGTTTGGAGTCTTATAAACATATCTACTGATAATTATGAATAAAGAAGGTTCTCTTTTAAAGTTGAAACGGGGTCATTTTGAATTAAGAGCACAAGGACCTCCTAGAACAGCTCTGCCATTCAATCCATGCCTTTGTCCACATTGGCTTAGAGGTGTGTTAACAGTAAATAGTTACTATTAATAGAGCACAGAAGCTTGCAAGTGAGTCACTTCTTTTTTAATAAATTAGAGCTGATTCATAATCCTTCATACTCACTTGAATGTGTAAATTGCTCTCTTAAGAAGAAGAGAAACTGGTAGAATTACAGTCAATTCCAGGAAGTATACTTGAACCTAAATCCTTCCCTGAGAGTTTGTCTCTCTGTGAACTTCATCCCTCCAACCAGCTGTGAGCACTGAGGTTTAAAAAAAGGTTTGAGAACAGTGAAGGAGCTAATGAACACAAAAAAGAGTAAGTTTCTAAGAAAAAAAAGACTCAAGTTTTCTTGGATTCTTCTTGGTTTAGAAGACTCAGATCTTTAAGATAAAGTTCAGGAGGATGGTGTATAGGTAATAGGTGCAGTAAAATATTTTGAACAAAATAAGTTGTATTTAAAACATTTGGCCTGGGAAATAAATTGGAAAAAGAAAAGTTATGGCCAATTAAATTAGCATCATGTTAGGATGTGACCAGGAGTAGAGTATGTGCAATTTACTCCTTAGGTTTCTGCTAGATTGGGACAAATGTTAAAAATGGAAAAAAAAAAAAAAGTAGAAATTTAATTTACTTTAAAAAATGCTATAATTCAAATTAAAAGAGTTAGCACAGCTTATAGCATGAGGGCATTGTCTTCCTCTCTAGTGAATTTAAAACAGCCTATTCACCATTCTAGTCTAACCTTGCCTTCTTCCTTACAAGGAATACAGCTGGGAGTCACAGAAGTCTTGCTCACTTTATTTCTGGGATTTTTTTTTTTTGCAATTTGAAAGCAGCCCTGATCAGGAGCCTTCCTGCGTGGGACTCTGGCACCTGCACTTAATATTCTTTACTGTAGAATTTTTCCTTTACATTTCCCTCCAGGCAAGTGTCTAAACCTCTGACCTGGAGTAGGTGTCATTGTCCAGATCTATCCCCAGGGCTCATTTAGCATCGCCCCCCATCCCCCACCTTCTAACTGGCCACCGTGGATACACACTGTGGTATGGAGCTGAATGTTTTCCTTCTATACAGCTATTATTTGTTCTCAACAATGAGGGACGTGGCCTCCATCTTTTTGTACCTCTCGGGGCAGTTTTAAGAGAAGGAATACTTGGCAACCTTAGCAAGTACTTTGGCCACTTCAAATCACATCATATATATTAAAATTCAATTTTATTTCTCAATTCCTTGGAAACAACTTGATGATATATTGTCATTCAAAAAGGACATTCACATTACAGGATTTTTCAAACAACTGAGTTGACAAATTTATTTTTGAGGCCCTAAAAGTCTATCAGAGCTCTCAACCACCTGGAGAGGTACCTCTGCTGAATATTAACCTTAATGCTCTGATTGTTTTGAATTTAGCTAATCATGAAAAATCTTCTTCTGATTAAGAATTTAAAATGTGGCTATTGCCACTTTGGAGAAAACAGCTCTGTTCAAAGAAGCAACAGTGTCTTAGCCTTGATGTCCATATCATCTAAGAGAACAATATCTCTTAATAAATGGAAAAGGGTTTTCAGTGAAGAACCAAATGCTGCAGATTTGTTAAAACTGGGTTTATTGCTGTATCTTAATAACTGATGCAACAAAAAATTTTAGTATTAACAAGAGAGTTGAGTCAAAAAGTAGTTAGCTCTGTGCTTTTTTAATAAACATTTTACTTTTTGGAAGCTAAAGATAATTTTCATGGAAAAACACCAATACAAGCTTCCCAATCTAATGTAAAATATAAAATAAAATTAGATTGTTATTGATGAACCTCTATTGTGCCTATATTTTTGTCAATATGCCTAGATTTTTGTCAAGGCCATGTGGTAAAAGGACCACGTTATGAATGTCATAGGCTCTAGGCATGTATGCCTTTCTGGGCCCCTTCCTCTATAAAAGAAAAAAATTAGATTTTTTTTTTTTTTCCGAGAATGAGTCTCGCTCTGTTGCCTGGGTTAGAATGCAGTGGCATCAGCCTAGTTCACAGCAACCTCAAACTGGTGGGCTCAAGCCATCCTCCTGCTGCAGCCTCCTGAGTAGCTGGGACTACAGATGCGCGACACCATGCCTGGCTAATTTTTTCTTTTTTTTAGTAGAGATGGGTCTCACTCTTGCTCAGGCTGGTCTTGAACTTCTGAGCTCAAGTGATCCTCCCACCTCGGCCTCCCAGAGTGCTAGGATTACAGGCATGGGTCACTGCACCTGGCCAAAAATTAGAAATTGTATTTTAGAACTGTGTTGGACTAAAGAGTAGCAATCAAGGCTGGATTCATTAATTATTATGTTGATATTTCTTCTTCTGATTATAAAAGAAGTTAACATGAAAACATTTTTGTGGGTCCCCAAATGTACCTTGGGCCCCAGCCCCTGTGGCCTCTGAGCCTCACCAATCCATTGGCTGTGCTGGCCACCATAAGGTCATGGCGCCCTGAGAAACTGCTCACTAAGGTTTGCCTGGAGCTCAGCCACAATCCTCCCCATGTGATTTTGAAAACAGAACAGAAGATGCTCTCACGCCAGTTAAAAAGAAAAAGTGAAGCAGGAAGGGGAAGTTCTGGATTGCAAGTAATGGAACAGATGGGTGGCAAAGACACCTGCAAGGACTGTCCATAGGGAAACCAAAATGAAATAAAAATAATTATATACCTGAATAGAAGGCAGGGACCCTCCTGCCCCTCCAGAGAAGAGGGAGTGTCACTTTAACTGGAGTCCTCATAAACTCTCCTGTATAACTGGGTGCTCTCTCAATTACTTTATACCAGTGGTCCCAACCTTTTAGGCGCCAGGGACTGGTTTCATGGAAGACGATTTTTCCATGGGGGCGGGGGGAGGGAGGTGGATGTGGAGTGATGGGGAACGGCTGTAAATACAGATGAAGCTTCATTCCCTTGCCCTCTGCTCACCTACTGTGTAGCCCATTTCCTAACAGGCCATGGACCTGTATTGGTCAGTGGCCTGGAGATTGGGGATCAAAGTTTTATACTGAATAAACAAAGCTGTTTAAGCAAATGTCAATAGCATATAAATTCAGGAAGGTAGGGCAGTCTACATACGCAAATCCACAGCATTTTCCCACTCCCTGCTCTCCAAAGAAGGCCTTGTTGGGCCACCAAGGTTCTTGGGCTTTTCAAATGGGAAATAGAGACAAACGAGGGATGAAAATAGGATCCCAAGATTATCCCTGGGGTGAGAGATTTGGGGAGGTGGGATTAGGAGATGGATTGAGAAGAAAAACTGATAGGGGTAAGTACAAGATTAAGGAGAACAAAAGAAGGCTATGAAAAGTAAAGAAAGCTACTCATCTACTTGGTAGGGTTTAAAAAATATATGATAGGACATGGGGGTAATTTGAGATTTTTTGATTGTATGATCTGTATGTGTATTTTAATTAAAAACTGTTGAGAGACTGAAGCACATGGATCTTGGCTTTTAAGCTTTACTTGGGGAAAGTAAAAGGTGCATTCAATAATGCCATTATAATCTTTCCAGAATAATCTGTAATGGAGGTAAAATGTTAGCACATGTTATTTATTGTAGTATCATTTGTCAGAAACTGCCTGCCTATGCTGGCAAAATTCTTAGCTATGGATAAATAAATAAAGCCTTACAGCCATCATTCTGTGGCTTTGTGACATAGAATGCTACATGTACAAAATAGATGGGTAATGAAATGTTGAATTTCATTGAGCTTAAATTCTCCAGTCTCATGAACACCTTCTATGTTATATTTAAGGAAATTCCACAACAGTGATAACACCACTTACCTCATCCTTCACAAACGGACAGAGTCCTAAAAAGAGCACTTCTCAGGAGAGAACCCATTCAAGTGAAACAACTACCTCATCCCCTTCCAGTGTCAACAACATACCCTGGATGACATCAAAGGTGCTTATGACATCAACCTCCAAAGACACCACTCTAGAAAACAGAGGAGAGACATCAACAACTGAAATAGGAAGACTTACATCACTCACCCTAGAGGTCTCAATGACAACGGCACCAGAAATACAATCAAAAACTTCTTCAAGGACATCTACTCAGGAAACAATAGAATTTTCTCAGAATTGGCAGACCCAAACCATGGAAACCACCAGAGAATCTCAAACCAACACCCTCACGCAGGTGACCACATCAACACTTTCATCCTCCTCCAATGGACACACCCTGACTGAGACCATTTCTAAGGACACGTCCCATTCTGGTAAAACAACCACCTCATCCACCACTGTGGTCAATAATACAACCCTGATGACAACAGAGGTGTTAACAACAACAACAACCTCTGCAGACGTCGCTCCACAAAATACAAGGGAGAAATCAAAACTTGTAATGGGTAGTATAGTGCCATACACCTCAGCAGTCTTACTAAAGGATATACCAGAAGGACAATCAATAGCAACTTCTTCAAGAACTTCTACCCAGGAGACATCAGCATCTTCCCAGAGCCATCAGACTCAGAGCACGGAGACCACGAGAGAACCGGAAACTAGTGCCCTCACACAGCTTATCATATCAACTCTACCATCTTCCCAATATGGACACCATCTTAGTGGGACTATTTCTTCTGCAATTGTCCAGATAGGTCACACTGAACCCACACAGACCGCAGAAGAATCCGAAACCATGAGGTTGCTCTCCCCGATGACTGACACCATCAAGAAGGTCACAACTACAGCTTCTTCTTTTATACCCAGTGGACATTCACCTTCAGGAAGTGTTCCTCAGCATGCATCCACCACAGGTGAAGTGACAACCTCCACCCTAGCACCCTCTGGAGATGGTCACACAACCCAGGCCACAACCACAGGATTGTGGGCAGCACCAACCAGCCCTGACATCCCCCTGGAGCCCTTAGGGGGAACATCACCTTCCGTAACAGGCACCATTCCTCAGGTCACTACCGGAGTCTCAACATCGGGGGGCCCAGGAGGACAACTGACATTGCCTTCTGCCAGCACCTCACCTGATGTCACACCAGCCGTTACCCAAACCCATCAGACTCAAGGCACAGAGACATCTGGAGAAACGCAGACCAGCAAACAGGCCTCCTCCATGTCAGACACCATCTCACCGGGCACAGCTACCCCTTCCTCATCCATGGCAAGCGGCACAACAACGTCAGAAAGTGTGTCCTCAGAAACGTCCACCTCAGGTAGGATCACAAGCTTCTCACCGACTCCCTCCAGTGACAGCCAGACAACTCAGGGGACAACTGAATTCTTGTCCACCTCAACCAGTCATGACCCCAGCCCAGGAGCCATGGGAACGGTGTCTGTGATTGTCCCCAGCACCTTTTCCACCATCTCTAAGGTCTCAACTGCAGGGAGACTGACAGGACAGTCAACCACAACTTCTTCCGGCACCTCTCTTCAGGAAATGTCAGCCATTCCCCACATGCCTCAGACCTGGAGTATAGGAACTAGCGCGGGATCTGAAACCATGAGCTCTGTGTCCGCCCAGGTGACTGACACATTCTCAACGGTCACGTCCCCACCTCTTTCATCCACACCAAATGGGCACACGTCTCCACAAACTGAGACGCACACTCTGTCACCTTCAGACAGCAGGGAAACCCTCATCTCCACCCCATTCAGTGACGGCCACCAGAGCCACACAACAATTCCCACCTTGTCACCTGGAACTACTGAAGGGCCACCTGCTGTCATTGGTTCCACCACCCTGAGGGATGTAGCCACTCATTCTCCTTCCACACTTTTGTCCACCCGTGGAGAAGTTCTGACAAGCTCAGTCACCCAAGAGAACATGAC